ACGTCTACGGGTGAGGGGTCGCCTCTGTGGGGTGGGGGGCAGCATGGCTTCACATGGCCTCCGACCAGCAGCCACGATACATATTACGCAGAAGACGCATACATGCTATGTGATGCCCAAGAATGTCTGATAAAATATGAGCGTTCCATCAGCAGCCTCCTCCTCCTCGCCGGTACCGTCACCCGCCCCCTCGGCGCACTCTGCCTCACCGGCCTCTGCTGTCAATGATGGCTCGCCAGCCGGCTCCCGCATCAGGTCCTTTGCCAGCTCAGTTGTAAACTCGTAGCCTTCCAACAGCAGGTGCATTTCATTGATCACCCGGGTGTAACCCATGATAACCTAGTGAGCCGCTGGCAGTGGGCACAGTGTAGACGGCGCCCTAGTCGGCCGGCAGCTCCTTCCACTCACCCTGCGGCGTATGGTGTGCCAAGCAGGCATCACATGGCTTGTCCTTACGCACTCATCACACTGAATGCAACTAAATCATGCAAGCCACACGATATGCCACCCGAAACACACCAGCTTGAATGCGGCTTCCAACATCGGAAGCGCCGGCTCCATCGTCTTCATGTTGCAGAATACGGTGATGGACACAGATGGAGACCCTGTGCCAAGCAACAACGGGTTCATATCTTGCATGGCCCGCTGTGCAGTCATTGCTGCCTCCGTTGCGCCCGTGCAACCCGCGGCCAACGCCCCCTAGAGGTTGGTTATATGGCTTGCATTTATGAAAGCTTTGGCATGCGCTTTGATTGATAATGTAAGCCATGTGATGTTAGGTCGTGTACCTCTTCCTGGCATTGGAACACACCATCATCATGGGGACTCTCAACGGGGTCTGTCGTGTTTGGTTCTTGTGATAGCTCAAGGTTGCCCCCTCCTGATTGGTCAACCTCGGTTTGGGTTGCACAGGCCGACGCTAGCATTGTGGCGGCACTTGCTGCCATCATTGGCGGCGGCGGTGATATTCCACTTGCCATCACTGTCTCCTGCTCGGTTGATTGCAAAGCGTGCACAAATTTAGTTTGGGTTGTCAGGGTACTTGGAAGTAGGTCCCTCTCACCCACCCGCTGTTGGTCCTACCTTGCATAGAGAACTGGAGATCCAGCAACGCCACGCCTAGCAGGGCAT